GATAGTTTGGAGATTTCAGGGAAAAAAATCTGAATTTTTGAAGGCAGAGCGCTGATGAAGGAGGTGGGGGTTTCCTTCTTGCAAAAAAATGGAAATTTATTGCACCGAAATTTGGAAATTGCACAAAAATCTGGAATTTGGATCATCCCGGGCTGGGTGAAGCAGCTCCGGTTGTGGCAGGTCAGGAAAAAAGGGGAAGGTTCAGCTGAGAGAAAAATTTGGGAAATTTCGCTACCACCAAATCCCAATTTTCTCCCAAAAAAGCTGGGAAAAGGCAGCGGATGTGGGAATATCCCAGCATCAATATGGACTTTAGGACTTTTAGCTGCCATTAAATTTGGGGTTAAAAAGTCAAATTTCCCCACCAAAAAAAAAAAAATCTGAATACAACAGGAGAAGGGCAGAGAGTGAGGATTTAAAATTTAAAGTTTTGTACTGAAGAGATGGGACCCAAATCCTTTTTCTAAGAGGGACAGGGAAATCCTTTAATTTCATTAATGTGGCTTTAAAAAGCAACCCCCAAAAAAAGAACCCCAAAAAATCCAGATTTGGGGTTTAAAAGCCAAATCCCTCCACAAAAAACACCTGAATACAACAGAAAAAGGGAGAGAGTGAGGATTTAAAATTTAAAAAGTTTTGTACCCAAGAGACAGGACTCAAATCCTTTTCCAAGAGGGGCAGGGAAATTCTTTAATTTCTTTAATGTGGCTTTAAAAATCAACGTCAGGACCCCCAAAACACCTGAATGACCCAGAGAGTCTCCCCAAAAATTCAGATTTGGGGAGAAAAAGCAGCAAAAAGGGGGTGCCACACCCCAACCTCTGCAGGACCACGAGGGACTTGGGGTGAAGGGACACGGGGAGGACACCAAGGTTGGTCTGAGCCCCCCAAAAATCCAGATTTGGGGAGAAAAGGCAGCAAAAAGGGGGTGCCACACACAGGACCAGGAGGGACTTGGGGAGAAGGGACACAGGGAGGACAGGGGGGACACAGAGGCCACCAGGGCTGGTCTGAGCCCCCCCAAAATTCAGATTTGGGGAGAAAAGGCAGCAAAAAGGGGGTGCCACACCCCAACCTCTGCAGGATCAGGAGGGGCTTGGGGTGAAGGGACACGGGGAGGACAGAGGGGACACAGAGGGGACACAGAGGGGACACAGAGGGGACACAGAGGGGACACAGAGGGGACACAGAGGCCACCAGGGCTGGGCTGGAACAGGGTTTGGAATCCCCAGCTGGTGCTCACCAGCATCGTCCCCTCAGTGCCACCACCCCGGTGTCACCCTGGGGACACTCCCAGGGCATCTCCGCCGTGCTCCACATCCAGGTGGGGCCACCCCAAACACCCCCAGGGTCACCCCAGCCCTGAGGTGACACCAAATTCGGGTCCCAGAGACGCAACAACAGCAGGGCAAAGGTGACAACAGCAGGATGGTGACAAGGTGACATCGCAGCCACGTGGCCCCCTCACCCCTCGTATATTCCAGGACACTCCAAGGTGATCAAAGCCAGCCAACAATAAATCAGGTAGACCTCAGGTTCACAATAATAATAATAATAATATTAATAAAAAAGAAAAACAAGCTTGCAACAGCTTTAGAAAAGGCACCTGGGGGCATCGCCTCGCCTCGGGGCGGCGCCCGATATTTTAATTTTGGATTTTCTGGAGGTTTTTCTTAAAAAATATAAATAGCTCTTCATCTTAAAAATAGATCCTCAGCTTGAGGTATGCTGCAATCATTGGCATCACAGTGTTCGTTTTGTTGTGTTCTTTTGGCTTTTCTTTGGTGGCTGCTCTAGCTGGAGACGCCGAGGACGCAGTTTCGGGCCGGGCCGGCGGCAGGAGCCAGCAGCGCGTGGTGACCCTTGCAGCTGAGCGGCGCCGGGGAGGCTCTGGAGGCCTGGTAGAGGACGCAGATGGAGCCGTGGTCGCCGATGCGGTAGCACACCTCGAAGGGATCCACCCAGAGCGCCAGCTCGCCGGGCAGCAGCCGCAGCAGCCGCGCCAGGCTCAGCCCCACGCGCCCCGCCGCCCGCCCGATCAGCGGGTCCAGCCCGTGGCTGATGCGCAGGCAGCGGTAG